ATAACCATCTAAGAGTACGTCACCATCCGCTATAGATGTATCAAGGTGAGTCTCAGTGACACAGACAATATCAAAATCAGATGTCAAATTTTCTAATTGAGATAATTTATTCCTCAAACTACGGATGTTAAGGTGAAAGATAGATACATCGTTATTTTCAGAGGGGCCAGGGTTAGGATGGATATCATTACAGACTAGTAGAAGGAGATGCAGTATTATCAGGAAACATGAATTATCAGTTATACAAGAAAGAAGGACATGAATGAAACAGCACGATCTTGTTAAGATAAATATCACTCTAAACCTGAAGTCATTAAAACACTTAAACATATTTATATAGATGAAAAAATTTTGTGAAATAGGTATACCGGTGATACGAAGATAGAAACAACCGACAGCCGCCCGATACTGGGCTAGATCATTACCCTTGATCATCAAACAATAACTTAAACATCGAGAGGCCATCGGTCAAATAAACCACAGTTAAATTAAACATGTAATTGTCAAAACACTCAGTCTTAAGGGATGATATATTTAGGTCGTGACAGCAAAGGTGAAAGGTGAGAAAGAAGAAAATATAGAGAAAGGACACATAAACAAAACACCTAAGTATTCTTATGTGGAATGTCATAATAGGATTGATGGAGAGGAAAAATAGAAAATGGTGAAGTACCTAGATTTGTTATAGAATAATTCTATAAAACAATATGAAAATTCTTTAGTCACTAAGTGAATATAGCTTTCTTTAAAATGAATTTCTATGTACAATAATATGATTCCATCTAGACATGAAAATATTACAGAAAGTGGAAATATTACCAGACTTGCACACAGACACACTTACACGAAACCACACACACATGCATACCCTATACACTGATAAGGACAATTTACAGAAGTATTCATACAGGCACACAAGTAAAAATACACATGTAAAAAAGCACTCGAGGCCAGGATATTATTTTTTAAACATTGATTTTTGTTTTAGCACTCATGACTGACGTTATTTAAACGAAATATCAGCAGAATTCAAGTTTATGTGCCGGTTGACAAATCCGAGGTCCACGGTCATTAAAAATACACAAGGCAAGCAACTCCAGATTTTAAAAAATCGACCCCTCGCTTGGAAACTGGCTCAAAAAAAGTAGTTATGATAAGTTCCTTATAAAACAATATGTATCCGTAGGTAGTATGTATATTTACCTTTCGTTTGGTGCATAACATTACAGGCAACGAGAAATTCACAATACGTACATGAGATTAACATCTCAATAACCGGAGATTTTTATCGTCCATGTAAATATCTTTGACGGAAGTAACATGCCATTTCAAGGGCGGTCACTCCGACTTTTTGGGAGAGGAGTTCCGGATAGCACTATACCAGTGAACAGGTAAGAAAGGTTCCGATGTCATTACGCGCGTAACTTCAAAATAGATATTTTTATTTCTACAAATACATTTGCGTAGATGGAAAAATAATGGCTGGGCAAAGAAAGTCCACATTTGCCAACTCGGATACAATATCATGGTAAGGGATTATACAGAATGCATCAACTTTCAATCAAGCTGGCGGTAATGAGATTTTTTTTTCAAAAAAAAAAATAAGAAAGAAATCATGCAGATAATGAAAAAAGGGCGCAATTTATGAAAAATATCGTTCCTTAGATAAAGCCTTACACCGTTTGCAGCAAAAAAATACATTGACCTTTATTCAAGGTCACTTTGGTCCAATGTGTTGATTTTTTAAACGACTTATTCCGATTAACCAAAAGTCCAGGGATCATGATGTTTGTTAAAATGTTTCTTGGGTGAAGGGCAACAAAGTTTGAGAAAAGATATTACTTTGACATTATATTCAAGGTCATGGATTAACCCTTAAATAACATCTTCTGATAACCAAAAAGGCCTTGGGTCATGATATTTGTTCAGGAAGTCCATTGTATGGATGTTTGCCAAAGCATACAGCACATGTAGCAATACAAGCCCTTTAGGCATCTTGGTTAATAAGTAATATGTATTTCTTTTCAAATATTCTCAATAACTTGACAAAAATCACTATGGAAAAAATCAATTAATTTCCAATTTCTAAGTTAATATATTTCCCCCACGATATTTTTCATAAATTGCGCCCTTTTTTCATTATCTGCATAATTTTTTTCTTATTTTTTTTTTTTTTTTTGAAAAAAAATTCTCATTTCCGCCAGCTTGATTGAAAGTTGATGCATTCTGTATAATCCCTTACCATGATATTGTATCCGAGTTGGCAAATGTGGACTTTCTTTGCCCAGCCATTATTTTTCCATCTACGCAAATGTATTTGTAGAAATAAAAATATCTATTTTGAAGTTACGCGCGTAATGACATCGGAACCTTTCTTACCTGTTCACTGGTATAGTGCTATCCGGAACTCCTCTCCCAAAAAATCGGAGTGACCGCCCTTGAAATGGCATGTTACTTCCGTCAAAGATATTTACATGGACGATAAAAATCTCCGGTTATTGAGATGTTAATCTCATGTACGTATTGTGAATTTCTCGTTGCCTGTAATGTTATGCACCAAATGAAAGGTAAATATACATACTACCTACGGATACATATTGTTTTACAAGGAACTTATCATAACTACTTTTTTTGAGCCAGTTTCCAAGCGAGGGGTCGATTCTTTTAAAATCTGGAGTTGCCTGCCTTGTGTATTTTTAATGACCGTGGACCTCGGATTTGTCAACCGGCTCATAAACTTGAATTCTGCTGATATTTCGTTTAAATAACGTCAGTCATGAGTGCTAAAACAAAAATCAATGTTTAAAAAATAATATCCTGGCCTCGAGTGCCTGTGCATTCACGTTTCCAAAATTCTACATTCTTCCGCGAGAGCAAAATGACAGACTACAAACGCAATATGAATAACCATTAAAAATATTTATTTTTTTGGAAATTAAATATTTTAATTAGCGATAGATACATGGATGGAAATACTTGTGTAGCCCCTGTGCACTTGGGACGTGTGTGTGCGGGTCGCATGTATGTCTCGAGCGCACAGGGGCTCGTAATCATACGTCATCGTGTGTGAGGGGTGTGATTGGATGAGAGTAATGCACGGACTATCCGTCCCTTCCCCTCCACATCATCGCACTCCCGAGTCCTTCATTCCTCGCCAGGCTCTCGGAGTCTACACATCGAGATCGTCATCTTCATACCATCTTTACAGTTCATGTCCCGGCCCTGGTAAGCCAAACTTTCTAATATTTTAAACCATAGAATTGTTAATCCATATGAATTGAATTTAATGACCGTCGCGCTAGTTGTACAATAATAATGAGCTCCGGTCAGTGAACAATGTAAATTATTCATTACAGGTTTTTTAGACAGTAAAAGAACCAACTAAACACAGTGTGTCGTGTTATACATCATACACCGACAGGCTACAAATGGCGCCCAACGTGATTTAGAAACCAGGGCAGGTTTCGGTCCTTGCCGACGCTTGAGTTTAGTGTGTACCACCACCGTAATGTCAAGGTCACCAGGACGCTTCCGGTGAAGGTTTCTTCCGGTTTAGTGGTTTGTGTATGGCCTGGACGACCCAACGAGCTTTAGCTATGTCTTACTAAAGTTTCTGAGGCGGTGAAACCTATTGGTAGGTGTTAAATCATCGTTCAAGTGTGAACGGATTCAATATCCTGTGTCCGACGGGGAACAGACTATGGACCCAGCGATGTGATTGAGGGGGTATCCATTCTCCGATGTGTTCTGTCAATCCCAGGATTTATAGACATGTGTAGTACGGTGCCCGGTTTCCAGTTGTGGACTGTTTATTTGAAGATGTGGACATTGTTTTTTTTGTTTAAATTTAATTGAACCGTTTTCTGTGTGATTTCAGCTTGCCAGGGATTCATTGTCATAATCACCACCATCATCATCCTCATCACTATCATTTTCACTACATTAATCATGATTATCATCATACTAATGCACGAGAGCACTGTGATCCGGTTTTGCTGTCTAGCAGTAAAGGGTTTTGTTTGAGTAGGCATCAGCAGTATGTTAGAGAACTAGGACATGACCTAGAGTTCTGGTGTCAAGCTGGGGGTAAGTTCAGCTTTGCCCATTACTGTTTGAGGCAGAGATTACCAAACTTGGTTAAAAAAACATTCGCAGATTATGTTGTATGTGTGGTTAGGGACCTGCGATTTGACCCATAAATCAGGTAGCTTTATAGAATTATGTCACTCATCAGACGAGGAATGTGCTGAATATGTGCAAAATAATGTAAATTTGGTAAGGGACTTGGCAGGCAGGTTTCCAAATGTAACTCTGATATTTCTGGAGATTCCACCATATAGCATTGTAGGATGGAATAGAGCTAAGGGTCATCCTAACCCAGATATATTTGTGGAGGAGGACAAGGTTCTGGAGAGTCGCATTGATATATTAAACTCTTACCTGAATAAAGTGAACATGGCAGCGGGTGTGAGTTCTCTTAGGTTACACCTGGATGTTATTAAATATTCATGCCGTGGACGCAAGCGTTCTGTCGCGTTTGAATTATTTAGGGACGGCGTACATCCAATAGATCTACTGTCCAGGTATTGGATGAAAAGTTTGACCCTGAAGATATTTCAGGACTGTAGGTAGGTTTACTGTGAGATATGGCGGAAAAGCCTATTGAACCCAGCAAGGGTTTAGCTCTACCACCTCCCTTAAAGGAGGATGCTCAAGAGGTGGAGCGAAAGAAAAGAGAGGTGAAGGTTGAGGAAGGGGGTCAGCTTGGTCTGTCAGAGGCGCAGCTAGTGAAAATGCTGGAGAGCATGGGAAATTTTGTGGCTGTACCGACTTCTGACAGAGCGGCCAGTGCTGCTAAGCATTCCAGGACAAGGACTAGTTCCCTTGCCCCTGGTGACCAGACTTTTAATGAGGCAAGTTTTTACAGCTGACCTCACAATATACCTAAACTACCTTCCTTCTCGGGTGAGGATCCTCCCTTGAAAGGTGATGTACTCTATATGGACTGGAGGTATGAGATTCGCTGTCTGATGACAGACAGTGAAGTTACCCCTGGTTCATTGGTACAAGCCTTAAGACGATCACTCAGGGGAGTGGCTCACCGCGTGTTAGTGACCATGGGCGACAAGGCTACCCCTAGAGAGATTTTAGCTAGACTTGATGCTCTATTTGGGGATGTGTCCACTCATGGAATGATTATGCAAGAGTTTTTCAACTCAAAGCAAAGGTCTGATGAGTCAGTAACCAACTTTGGTTGTAGGCTAGAGAGTCTGCTACAGACTGCAATAGATAACGGGTCATTGCACAAGGCGGCCAAGAATGACTTGTTAAGACACAAATTCTGGACCTCGCTACACTCTGACAAACTAAAGAGTCAAACACGTCATAAGTATGACGTCATTACAAGTTATGAAGAATTGTTGAGAGAAATTAGAACTGTTGAAAAGGAAATCAATTTGGTTTCAGACACCAGTAGTTCAGTGGGTACGGCTCCACATCAAAAAGATAAAAAGAAGGGGCAAAGTAACGTTGTTACTGTGGAGGTTGACCAACAGCAGGTGAACACTGGGAGGGACTTAACCAAGGAATTTGATAAAAAATTGAAGATGTTAGAGGAGAAGCTTGTTTCTCAGATTGACACCAAATTTGATAAAATCCTTGAAAAGCTTGACAGTCATAAGCCCCATTGCAATCAAAAGTCATATAAAGGTCAAGGTCAAGGCCAAGGTCAGGGTCAAAGTCCGGGTCAAGGCCGTAGGAAAAACAATTATAAAAAATCGGGTCAAAAGTCATACCAGAAAAAGAACCCAAACGAGTAACAGTCTCTGCTGTAGGCCAATCAGAGACTGGAGATTGTTCCAATGGCCATTCAGGGGTATTGGATAGGCTTTTAGGCGCGTGTAATGAGGGTTCCATAATTGTAGATGGAAAGATCGTCAAAAGTCTGATAGATAGTGGTTCACAGTTGTCCACTATATCACAAGCTTTTTACAACGGTTTGGCCACTAAGCCTACGCTTAAGGACTTGTCCACTTTAGGTCTTGATATTAAAGTAGCGAATGGTTCGGGACTTAGTTATCTAGGGTATGTTGAGTGTGAGGTCCAGATACCATTTATGAACAACACTAAGTTTGATATCTTTGGTAGTGCCCGATACAGACTATAACAGGCGGTGTCCAGTTTTACTGGGTACTAATGTTCTAAGGTTAGTAAAAGATTCCGTAGCGGATGATCATTTTACTATTCCTACCGAATGGAAAACTGCCGTAGATGCGATTACTCATACATATAGTGTGAGGGCCTTAAACAGGAAACCTGTACAGGTCGCCCCATACGAATCTACGGTAGTTAATGGTTTGGTACGGAATCTAGATCCCGGCATAGACAGCATAGTAACCGAAAACAACCGTGACATTTCCAACCTGAGGTATACAGTTTGCCCGCGGGTTTTGAAACTAAGGCATCAAATGTCTTAGTACCAAGATTCCTGTCAAAATCTGTAATGTTACGGCTAAGCCTATCATTATACATCCAAAGTCACTACTTTGTTCGGTATATCAAGTACAGGTAGTAGACAACTTAGCGTCCGATAGTTCAAGGTCGGCGCCAGAGGAGCTTGGTATTGAGTTGAACACTGAGAACCTTACAGCGGAGCAACTGATGAGGGTACGTCAGGTACTTGGGAACTGGAAACTTGCCTTTTCTACTAGTGCCTTCGATGTTGGATGTACTGACCTCGTCAAGCATAAAATTGCGCTTTTGGATAAACGGCCATTCAAGCAGCCGTTTCGTAAGATACCACCGGGTATGTACGAGGAGGTCAGACAGCACATCAAAGAGATGCTTGAAGCGGGGGTAATACGGGAATCTACCAGTCCTTTCTCTTCGAATGTGGTTCTCGTTTGGAAGAAGGATGGTTCACTGAGATTCTGTATTGATTACAGAATGCTTAATTCGCGTACCCGCAAGGACGCATACATGCTACCTCGTTTTGATGATACAGTGGATACACTGATTGGGTCGGAATACTTTTCCAAACTAGACCTCAGATCAGGTTACTGGCAAATCGAAATGGAGGAGTGTGATAAGGAGAAAACTGCCTTTTCTGTTGGTAACCTTGGGTTTTGGGAGACTAACAGAATGGGTTTTGGTCTCTGTTGTGCTGGCGCTACATTCCAAAGGATGATGGAAAAGTGTATGGGGGATATGCATCTGAGGGAGTGTCTTATTTTCCTCGATGATATCCTCATATTTTCCCGTACTTTCGACAAACACCTTACTCGGTTGGAATCAGTTTTTGCCAGACTCATACAACATGGCCTAAAACTAAAACCTTCCAAGTGTGAGTTTTTCAAGACATCTGTAGCATATTTAGGACATTTAGTGTCCAAGGACGGAATAGCTACTGACCCAGAAAAGGTGTCAGCGGTGAAAGATTGGTCTCGGCCACAAAACGTGAAGGAACTTTGTCAGTTTTTGGGTTTTAGTGGTTACTACAGGCGTTTCATAAAAGATTTCGCAGTCACAGCACAGCCATTGAACTTACTGTTACAAGGTCACGACTTACACAAGAAGTCAAAGGTCAAACCAAGGGTCAAACCCAAGTCAAAACCCAAGAAAAAGGCAGAATGGGTGTGGGGCGAAACTCAGCAAATTGCCTTTGACACTCTCAAGGAGAAACTGATGAATCCTCCCGTTTTGGCTTATGCAGATTTCTCTAAGCCATTCATTCTCCACACTGATGCTAGTGCCCTGGGGTTGGGTGCAATATTATATCAGAAACAGGAGGATGGCGAAAGAGTTATCGCATATGCGAGTCGGAGTTTGTGGCCGAATGAACGGAACTACCCAGCACACAAGCTCGAATTTTTAGCACTGAAGTGGGCCGTTACTGATAAGTTCCACGATTATCTTTATGGTAATTCGTTTGAGATGGTCACGGACAATAACCCACTTACTTATGTGTTAGGAAAAGCTAAGCTTGATGCCACAGGGCATAGGTGGGTAGCCGCTCTAGCCAATTATGATTTCACCTTGACGTATCGTGCTGGTAAAAAAAAATGCCGATGCGGATGGTCTTTCTCGCATATCTCAGGTCGGGGCTGATGTTGTGAGGGCTATATGCCAGTCAGTGGTTACTGTAGCACCACTAATGGAAAGTATTACTGACGGTGTTGTGCCACATTTGGCCGATGGAGGCACAGCATCGCCAGATAAGCTGGCTACGGTTAACTGGAAGGAACAACAGAAGCTAGACCCGGATATAGCTAGAGTTTTAGACCTTAACAGAAATGGTTTTCATCCCAGGAGGAAACAGCTTAGGGATGAAACTCCATGCGTCCAGAGATTGCTCAGAGCTTGGAATAGATTGAGTTTGCAAGATGGTGTTTTATTTCGCACCATTTCTCTCGATGGTCAGGATACTAGGCAGCTGGTCCTACCTAAACATTACCATTCCCTCGCCCTAAAGGGCGTACACGATGATGTATAGATTTCCTGAGTCTTGAGAGTTCATCTGATGGGTTGGAGAGTATTCTGGTAATCACCGATCACTTTACCAGGTATGCCCTTGCCATACCTTGTAAAAATCAAAAAGCCTACACCACAGCTAAGGCACTCTATGAGAAATTCATAGTGTACTATAGCTTCCCAGAAAGGCTCCACAGTGATCAAGGTCGTAATTTTGAGAGCGGGGTTATTAAGTAGCTTTGCAAAATAGCCGGGGTGAAGAAAACCAGAATAACCCCATACCATCCCATGGGAAATGGCTCAGCAGAGAGGTTTAATAAAACCCTTATAGGTATTCTAGCCACCGTGGATGAACCCAAGAAGAAGGATTGGAGGTCCTATGTAGCGCCAATGGTCCAGGCCTACAATGCAACCCAGAGCGATGCCACGGGGTATTCACCGCACTACCTGATGTTTGGGTGGCACTCCAGGTTATCCGTGGACGCCTTCTTGGGGACTGACCCTGGCCAGCAGGGTGCAGTTGATCCTGGTTCCTATGTCGGAAAACTTCGAGATAGGATGGAGACAGCGTACAAAGCAGCTGGGGAGGAGGCGAGCATGAATGCCCGACAAAATAAATCACGGTACGACCGCAAGGTTCGGGATTCTAAATTAGAGGTCGGAGACCATGTCCTTGTTAGAAGGGTGGGTCTGAAGGGTAAGAGCAAGCTCGCAGACAGGTGGGAACAGGAACCCTGTGTGGTGATCAATATCCCCAACAGTGACATTCCTGTGTACGAGGTGAGGCATGAAGGTTTGAGGGGCGGAAGTCGTACCCTCCACCGCAACATGCTACTCCCCTTTAACTCCATTCCGTTGGAGGTTCCCCCTGAGGTGCCTGACCGGAAGCTCAGATCAACCAAACATGCGGTTCCTGCTAGGCAGGTAGACCCCGACCTAACGTCCTCCTCAGACTCCAATACGGAGACCGAGTCTTGTTTGCCAAAGAACCCAAGGCGTTCTGCTAGGGGCAGGAGGGGCCAGGTGGTTCTAACATGCGACACAGGCCAACCCCAGGAGGAACCTATAATGGTTATCACTGAGTGTGAGATGGGGCTGGCAGATGGCAGTATCACGCCTGAACCGGAACCAAAAGACCAGGAAAGCGTTGATGCACCAGCGTCGGAGCCTGGTTCGGGTAATGACTCACAAGGCTGTTCAGAACCAATAGATCAATGGGGACCAGATGTGGTACAGCCTCGCCGTTCCACACGAGCCAGTAAGCCCCCTGATCTGTAGTGGGTTTACCTCCTGCAGTGTCATTCATGTCTGAACTGAGTCAGGCAACTATACATGTTGTGTGCCAACAAGGGATATAGATAGATTTTAGTTCAATCATAATGTATATTTTAAGTGTTGATCCAGCCTGTTAGCAGGTTGGTAGGGATTGCCCCGACCACCTGGACACTGAGCTGTTGTGTTCATTTTATCCTCTTTCATCTTATTTTATCGCCATTCCATCATTTGCTTCGATCAATGGTGGGGGTTGGTACGGATGGTACTGTCCACTCTCTCCATTCGATCAGTTTAACCAATACTTGTGAAAGTTCATAAAGTTGGTTGTGCAACACATTCTGTGTTGGATGTCAGTTGACCTCCAGGACCTTGTCCAGCGGTGCAGGTAACATGGAAATGATACCATTGCATTATGTGTATAGGCTTATACGCCGCTGGTGGATGGGGAATTTCGATTTATATCTTCTGCAGACACTTTATGGTATAAGGTACAAAGGAGTATATGTACTAGACTACATATCATGTGGGATACAGGCTTACTTGTGGAAGAAAGCATTGTGAATCCCGTGTAGGGTTATACCATATTCCGTTAGGCTGCCTGGTCATGCGTCCTTGTGGCAAACCCCTTATTACAATTGAGTTAAGGGGGTGTTGCAGGGATAAGTGCTGTCGTAACCGGTGCGATAATTTGTCATTCTGTCCGTAACCTATGTAATAAATGTTACGCAGATATTATGGTAATGCCAGGAGTCATTTCATCAGGGGGGGAGTATGTAGCCCTTGTGCACTTGGGACGTGTGTGTGCGGGTCGCATGTATGTCTCGAGCACACAGGGGCTCGTAATCATACGTCATCATGTGTGAGGGGTGTGATTGGATGAGAGTAATGCACAGACTATCCGTCCCTTTCCCTCCACATCATTGCACTCCCGAGTCCTTCATTCCTTGCCAGGCTCTCGGAGTCTACACATCGAGATCGTCATCTTCATACCATCTTTACAGCTCATGTCCCGGCCCTGGTAAGCCAAACTTCCTAATATTTTAAAACCATAGAATTGTAAATCCATATGAATTGA